AGGCAGGTAGCTTCTACAAGAGCTGCTTCGCTTTTCGCTTTTCTATGTGCCATAATTAAAGTAACGCCATAGGCTGTGTTCCTCAAATACTAATGCTTTGTGCAGTTGTGTATTTATTCGGAGGATTTTCATCCTGCCTTTCAATCGATGATCCTCAAGGTGGCTTACAGTAACTTGTGGCCAGTCGGTCTCTCCCACACATACGTGAGCCCCAAATCCACACACAGCCTAGTAGCCCCACCGGAGGAAGCTGTTGTGATGTCCTCCAAAAGTTGTTGAACTGAAACTTCCATCAGCCCCTGCCAGAATGGCCAGGGATCAGGGACGTTGAGAATTGTTCCGATGCAGCAGGGGCGGTGAGATCCTCCCACCAATGCACAATGGATGGTTGGTGTTTATTATCCTTCGAGGCTCAAAAGTATAAGCCCCTTAGGGACCATAAGGTAAAGGTTAAAGGGACCCCTGACCATTAGGTCCAGTCGTGGCCGACTCTGGGGTTGTGGGACTCATCTCACTTTATTGGCCAATGGAGCCGGCGTACAGCTTCCGGGTCATGTGGCCAGCATGACTAAGCTGCTTCTGGCGAACCAGAGCAGTGCACGGAAACGCTGTTGACCTTCCCGCTGGAGCGGTACCTATTTATCTACTTGCACTTTGACATGCTTTCGAACTGCTGGGTTGGCAGGAGCAGGGACCGAGCAACGGGAGCTCACCCCGTCGGGGGGATTCGAACCGCCGACCTTCTGATCGGCAAGTCCTAGGCTCTGTGGTTTAACCCACAGCGCCACCCGCGTCCCTCTTAGGGACCATAAAGGCTTGCAAAACCTGCTTTCGTTGTCCCAGACATCAGTGCTTGTGCGAAAAGCCCTGTTGGTTTGTTATTTTGAAATCCTCCTGCCCACTTTGGACCCTTGGCCAGTCCTGGTTGACACAGGTTGACACAGGGAGCTTTTTCCTTCACCCCAGCCCCCTGGAATTCTGCTTTCCTTTGTGCAGATGAATTGCAGCGACGCAGCTTGCAAATAAGCCAGCGATGATGTGGGGAGCTTGGCACGCCACAGCGCCAGGGAAAATGCAGAGTCGATGTTTGCTGTGCAACTTTCTCCTCCCGCCTGTGGGTGCTGTTTGCAGAGAGGCTCCTTTCGGCGTCTGCGTGGGGATGCTGTTGCCATCTGAACGGGAGGCCTGGCGAAACAGAGACAAAGAGAAGCGCTAGCAGAGGCGGGAACTAGAATGTGTCCGGGGTGGGGAGGGGAGATGTGCTGTTAAAATTATTGTTGGCAGGGAGACTCTTTGGCCGGCGAGTTCCTTCCATGCAGATTAACAAGCAATACATTATAGAGAGAGGGGAGGGAGGGAGAGAGAGACCTTTGAAGCTGAGAGGGCAACTTTTTGGTTTCCCAAGGGTTTCCTGCCGCGCTGTCTGCTGTTCAGCACAATCCTTGTAATCCCCCAGCCAAGACGAAGAGCTGCCTTTGCGCCGAACTGGGCAGCGTCAAATCTCCTCCCAGCACAGAATGTCGCCCTTGGATACTGGGTTTTAAGTGTCACAAATAAGGGTGTGTGTGTGACTAAATATTTTCAGCAATGTGTGTATTTGTATGCACAGTTGAGACATTTTTGTATACAGTGGTCATTTGGAGAACGGCATCATTACAAATTTCAGAGAAATTCAGATCGTTTGTGGAGAAGAAGCCTGAACTAGGTAGTTTCTCAAATGCAAAGAAAATCACGATAATACAGCGGTACCTCAGGTTACAGACGCTTCAGGTTACAGACGCTTCAGGTTTCAGACTCTGCTAACCCAGAAATATTACCTCGGGTTAAGAAATTTGCTTCAGGATGGGAACAGAAATTGGGCAGCGGCAGCAGCAGGAGGCCCCATTAGCTAAAGTGGTGCTTCAGGTTAAGAACAATTTCAGGTTAAGAACAGAGCTCCAGAACGAATTAAGTTCTTAACCTGAACTACCACTGTAAACTGCATTATGCCCAATAATAATAAATAATAAATTTATTAAATAGAAAAGTAAATCAAATTCTGCCCCCATCCCTACCAGGAATTATGATAAGCCTCACCCTTATGATCTAAAATGGATTATTTCCTGACTGAAGGAAATTTATTGGCCAGTGGACAGGCTTCATTCATTTTCAGACGAAGCAGGATGGCAAACTCTTGGTTCCACGCAATGATTTGAAACCCAGAGATAGATAGACTTCTGACTACAGCGCAGGAGCTGCATCTCTTCACATAGAAATGAACCTCTCTGAGCTTCCTGCTTTATTAATCATAAAATGGCTTGGGAAGCCTCTTTGCAAACACTCTGTGTACCTTCTCTTCCTCGGGCACTCAGTTCACGTTCATTTATCCTTGGCACCGTGCTGGTAAAAACACTTAATCCATGGCCATATTTGCCTCCCTTTGCTTTGAAGCTCAAAGAGCATGTTGTTTAATCAATAAATGAGAAAATGGAGGAGAGGAGGGAGAGGACAGATCAGGCATTATTTGCAACTGGGACCCATGGTCTTGATCCCGTGCCTCTTCTCAGTTGAGGTGTGTGCGTCTGTGTGTTCCTCAGGATGAGGGAGAGGGAAGGCTTGTAGCCACAAGGTGCACCTGAAGCAGCAATATGCAGGTATCCTGCTCTTGAACATGGATGTTCCATTCAGGTGTCATGGCTAACAACTATTGCCAGCCCTCCCTTCCATCTGCCCAATCCTCTTTCAAAGCCATCCAAAAGCCCCACTGGTGGCCACCACAACCTTTGGTAGCAAATTCTGTTAAGCGCAAAGACTGGTTCTTTGTATGGCCTTCCCATCAGCATCTGGTGGCTGATTTTGTTCGTGTGTGTGTGTGTGTTTTTTACAAAAGCATGGATAATAATAATAATAATAATAATAAATAAATAATTTATTATTTATTAAATGTGTGAGGGAAGCGATCCTGTACAACACCTTCCACAGATAAATGGAATGAAATAAGATTTTAGCTGTAGTAGTAATAATAATAATAATAATAATAATAATAATAATAATAATTTATTATTTATACCCCGCCCATCTGGCTGAGTTTCCCCAGCCACTCTGGGCGGCTCCCAATCAAGTGTTAAAAACAGTACAGCGTTAAATATTACAAACTTCCCTGAACAGGGCTGCCTTCAGATGTCTTTTAAAGAGAAGATAGCTGCTTATTTCCTTCACATCTGAAGGGAGGGCGTTCCACAGGGCGGGCGCCACTACCGAGAAGGCCCTCTGCCTGGTTCCCTGTAACCTCACTTCTCACAATGAGGGAACCGCCAGAAGGCTCTCGGAGCTGGATCTCAGTGTCCGGCTGAACGGTGGGGGTGGAGACGCTCCTTCAGGTATACAGGACTGAGCACGTTTAGGGCTTTAAAGGTCAGCACCAACACTTTGAATGGTGCTTGGAAACGTACTGGGAGCCAATGCAGATCTCTCAGAACCGGTAGCAAATTATGTATGAATACATAAATAAAATAAATATCATGTAACAAACTCACTTCTCCACGTGCACATCCTTATGTGGCCGAAACAGCGCTTCCTGTGCACAGGAGGGAGATAACAGCAGGCTTGAGGCATGTGGGGTGACAACAGAAAACCAAGAGGGCGGAATGGAATGTACAGTGGTACCTCTGGATGCGAACAGGATCCGTTCCGGAGCCCCGCTCGCATCCTGAGTAGAACGTAACACGCGACTGCGCGTTGCGTTTCGCCACTTCCGTGCTTGCGCGTGACGTCATTTTGAGCGTCTGCGCATGCATGAGTGGCGAAACCCAGAAGTAACGTGCTCCGTTACTTCCGGGGCGCCGTGGAGCGTAACCTGAAAACGCTCAACCCTGAAGCATATTTAACCCGAGGTATGACTGTAGTGTTTTAGAAGAGGACTTGGCTGGCTGGAACGGAAACAGTCTACACTGCAACATTTTGTTGCAGTCCCCAACTGTGTTCTTTTTGAGCGATTGTGTCTGTAAAAGATTCGGCTGCTCAATAAAACCCAACTGGCTAAAAATGAGGTTAGCAGGTGCCAAGGTCGAGAGAATGCTTCTTCCCTTAGCAGCACTGTGGAAGAGAGAATTTCAGCTGCTGCCACTTCTCTCACCTCCTGTTACACTAGTTAGTTACACAGGTCCAGACCCCTCTCCTGGCAGCTACATCAGTCCTGTCCTCTTAGTGTCTTGATCACCTGCCTCAAGATCTCTATCCATCCAGGAAGCTTGAAATACTGGAAAGATGTTTTCACATTTTAGGGCATGGGTAGGCAAACTAAGGCCCGGGGGCCAGATTCGGCCCAATCGCCTTCTAAATCCGGACCGAAGACGGTCCGGGAATCAGCATGTTTTTACATGAGTAGAATGTGTGCTTTTATTTAAAATGCATCTCTGGGTTATTTGTGGGGCATAGGAATTTGTTCACCCCCCCCATATAGTCCGGACCCCCACAAGGTCTGAGGGTCAGTGAACCGGCCCCCTGCTGAAAAAGTTTGCTGACCCCTGTTTTAGGGTGTTTCATTCCCTTTCTGTGACACAAAACCCCAAAGACGGATTTGACTAATGAGTTCTTCTGACGCTTGCAATCGATCCTCAACAGATCTGGACGCTTGAAGTGCACTTTGAGAGAGGAAGCAAAGAATTGATCCATTGCAAGCTTCCTCCCTCCTCCATATTAGATTGTGGATGCAAACAGCATCTGTGTAGAAGATTCTGCTGGTCACAGGTGTCTCTAACAACCCCTCTCTGATGCCCAAGACAGATTATCTCCCTTTAAAGAACATGGCCACTGTTCACTGCTTTATTCCTCAGCTCCTCCATCAATGTGTGCCCCTCCACACCATCTAAAACCCTGGAGGCCACTGCCAGTCAGTGCAAACAGTGCTGAGCTAGATGGACCAGTTGGTCTGACTCAGGGCCATGGATTCGAGCCCCGTGTTGAGCAAAAATATTCCTGCATTGCAAAGGGTTGGACTAGACCAGGCACCCCCAAACTCAGCCCTCCAGGTGTTTTGGGACTACAACTCCCATCATCCCTAGCTAACAGGACCAGTGGTCAGGGATAATGGGACTTGTAGTCCCAAAACATCTGGAGGGCCGAGTCTGGTGATGCCTGGACTGGACGAATCCTGATGGTCCCTTGCAGCTCTGTGATTCTGTGGGTCAGTGTCAGTATAATACTGCTCCCTCCGTACATTTCAGTTTGCTGCTGCTGCTGCTGCTCTGAATTTTAGCCAAATTGTCCCTGCCCATCTGTTTAGGATTATGGATGACAATAGAGCAGAGTGTTAATAAATGAAATGGAGTAGCGCACCTTGAAAATTAAAACAAAACAAATAATGCAGCCAGGAAATATTATACTTCCTTTGGCACAGGGGGAGTGACTGTTGATTCTTACAAAATAGCAGTCTTGATAGCCATCATATTCCATGAGCGTCCCTCCTCTGTGCAATAGAAATTTATTTAAAAAGCAAGAAAACAAAAAGATTATAATTCTTTACTGGATCTGCTCCAACCCTGGCCCCAAGCATTCTTCTGGATGAAGGTCATTTCTTGATGCAAGGTCACTTATATTTATTCATTGTTGTCGGAGCATCTCTCCCTATTTCATTGACGGAACTGTTACTGAACTGACTTACTTTATTTTATTGCAATAGTCGCCTACTTGGCTCGTGATAGGCAAAGCCAGGTTCTTGTTAGAGAAAGCAACTGAGCGGCAGGAAACACCATAGATTCCTCGCTGCTTCCCTACTGGGACCTGAGCTTTGTTTTCTAGGTCACTGATGGCTGAGCTCGACACATTCCTTCCCTTCTATGTTTGCAAGCAGATGAGGCAGCTCTCGGTGTGTCATCGGAGTGCATCGCCTGCTCATGGCAATCTGCTGCGAGGAGGACGGGCCACAACTAACGCCTTTGCAGGAGGTTCCTGCAAAGTACTCCAGACCTCACAGGGAGGGAAAGACGAGGGGAGTCTAGCACAGAGCCACAGAAATCACCTTCAAACAGGGGGCTGTCCTCTGACATAAATACATAAAAAGAGCACTAGAGCATGGGTAGGCAAACTAAGGCCGGCGGCCCAATCGTCTTCTAAATCCGGCCCACAGACGGTCCGGGAATCAGCGTATTTTTCAACAGTGTAAATAAGTTTTGATGGGTGTAATAATGGAATACTGAATGGTTTAATTTAGTTTAATTTAATTTGGTAAAATATGCAAGGATTTATGATGTGCAGAATGAACCATGGAAAGAGAAGTTATTGATATTTTTAGGATGTTTAAATGAGTATTCTAAATTGTAAAACAGAAAATTTAATAAAATTTTAATTTAATAAAAATTAGAGAGGGAGACGGTGCCACTGTCGAAACAGCTCTTACTGTCAGAGATTAAGATTCTCATGCTCTACTGACTGAGCTGTTTAGACAGGAGAATTCCCAGCCTTACCTGGAAACGCTGGGGTTTGTACCTGGGACCTACTGCCTGCAAAACAGACGCTCAACCAGCTTTGGTCCCATAGTATCTCCCAAACTATTCTAAAGGGTCTCTCAGCCCTCTGGAACAAATTTTGGGAGGAGAGTTCTCCTGTGAAATCTCCCATTCCAATCTCTGAGAGAAGATGCCTTCCTCGCTTATTTTGATTTCCAGCCTCCCTAGCCTAATTTCCTTTCCTTGGCTGCATTCCTGACAGAGCAGCCTTCCACCTTCTGAGACGGTGACTAATTCCCTTCCTTCATTTATATCGATACCTTCGGGGCATTATAAACTGTGCTCTCATTGCCCTGGAGTCTTCCCCCAGCGTAGCTATAAATGAATCTGCCTAAGTGTGTCCCTCTGTGGCTTATTCTCACACAATTGTACTATATTAAGTGTACGCGTGTGGTTTTTCTATCTCGGTAGACTTTTTATTCTTATGCAGCACACTTTGGGATTGATAATAGCGCATGCATCAAGGTGCTTCCATCACCAACAACGCCCCCCCCCCGCAGCCCTCATGCTGTATTGCTGATCCCAAATCTTTGCACAGATGCTGCAAACGCAATTGCATGTTCCAAACTAAGCTGAGTCAGGCATCCCAGTATACATATCTATATATCTATATTTATATTTATTTGAATACAGTCACACCTTGGTTCTCAAATGGCTCCGTTTTTGAACGTTTCGGCTCTCGAACGCGGAAAACCTGGAGGTAAATGTTTGGGTTTTCGAACGTTTTTTGGAACTCGAACGTCCAACGTGGCTTCCGCTTCAGTGCAAGAAGTTCTTGCAACCGATCGGGCTTCAGTTGTCAAACGTTTCGGAAGTTGGAATGGTCTTCCGGAACGGATTATGTTTGACAAACAAAGTTTGACTGTACCGCTTTATACCCACAGGTCTCAGTGCAGTTCACAAGCTAAAATCACAAAATAAAAGCACAAAATGCATAACAACCACAACCACAATCCAATAATCCTCCCAACACATTTTAAAAGCATGTCAATCAGTCAAAAGCCTGGTTAAATAGGAATCGCCAGAGTGGTGCATGCTCTAGTTATCTCTCGCTTGGACTCCTGCAATGTGCTCTATGTGGGGCCACCTTTGAAGGTGACCCAGAAACTACAACTAATCCAGAATGCGGCAGCTAGACTGGTGACTGGGAGCGGCTGCCAAGACCATATAACACCGGTCTTGAAAGACCTACACTGGCTCCCAGTACGTTTCTGAGCACAATTCAAAGTGTTGGTGCTGACCTTTAAAGCCCTAAACGGCCTCGGCCCAGTATACCTGAAGGAGCGTCTCCACCCCCATCATTCTGCCCAAACACTGAAGTCCAGCGCCGAGGGCCTTCTGGCGGTTCCCTCGCTGCGAGAAGCCAAGTTACAGGGAACCAAGCAGAGGGCCTTCTCAGTAGTGGCACCCGCCCTGTGGAACGCCCTCCCACCAGATGTCAAAGAGAACAACAACTACCGACTTTTAGAAGACATCTGAAGGCAGCCCTGTTTAGGGAAGCTTGTAATGTTAAATAGGTTATTGTATTTTAATATTCTGTTGGAAACCCAGCCAGATGGGTGGGGTATAAATAAATTATTATTATTATTATTATTATTATTAGGTTTCTGCCTAGCACCCTAAAGTTGTATAATGAAGGTGCCAGCTGAACCTCCCAGGGTAGACCATCCCCCAAACAGGAATCCACTGCTGAAAAGACCTGTTCTCTTGTTGCCACTATCTGGACCTCTCAAGGAAGAGGCATATGAAGAAGGAGGGCCTTAGAAGATTATCTCAGGTGCCCGGATAGTGGGGAAGCTCCTCCCCCCCCCACCTGAGGGCCACCTTCATTTCTGGGCAACTCCCCAAGGGCCACTGCTAGTGGTGTGAAAAACCAGAGGTGCAAGTGAGTGGAGCAACAAAAGCCAATTTTTCAGCAAGCTGCTTTCTACACATACCCCTCTCTGCCCTCCATCTTGATGAAGGGACATTGGCAGAATTCAAGCCAGGCAAAAATACTCTTGGTGCAAAGTGGTGTCATTGAGTGGTATGGCCTGGAGAGAATTTGAGAGCCTCATTTTGGCTCTCAAACCCGAGGTTCCCTACCACTGACCTAGCACACTTAAAATACCTGAGCCGTGGCATTGCATGCTTCGTCTGCAATAATTGTGTTCACATTACTAACCTGCTATTTCCAAATTCCGTTAGCATCAGTAATAGCAGTTCTTTGTTCGTCCTCATGCTCTACACAATCCTGCCCCTCCTCTTCGGCGTGCGGGCGGGGGGGGGGCTGATTATATGCATGGTAGCGATTCGGCTTACTTGTAGATCATTGGTGTGCAAAGGGGAGGTGTGGACAGCTGTATTCTCTGGCCACGGTGCTAAGCTGAGCAGTCTAAAAATAGGAGCCCCAAGTGGCAACAAATTTAGTATCTAGGCCAAAAACTCTTGCCGACTGCTTCGTATTTTAATTGCCTCCTCACAACCTGCAGTGGCCCAAATTGTTGCAGCGTTGCAGCTAATAGCGTACGTGCCAAATTCCTCCTCGCGCTCGCTCGTGTGTTTAGGTGGCCTCATCCACTACAGAAAATGTTCCTTTGCTACTCAAATGCAGATTTTACTGTTTGATTTGTAGCTTATCCATGGAATTTAACCAAATCAACCCCTTTCACATCATAATTACAAGCTCGTTCATGGTTGGTGTTTTGAACTTGGACTGAGGCTTCAGCCTCCGTAATCAGTAGCCTTGGCCAAGCTAGTTTTTCTCAAACTTGGTTCTTACCTGTGAAATGGGCACAAGAGTGGCCTAACTGTGTAAGCCTGTTGCAGTCGAAGCAACAAAGTTCCTCATGGCACTCTAAAGGCTAACAAATTTATCAAGGCATGAGCTTCCTTGCATCTGACTCTAGTGCTCAAAAGCTACACTTGCAAAGAATGTCATAGTTGGGTCTACAAGGTGTCACGAGACTTCATGCTCTTTCTGCCTCAGAAAGTGGTTGTGAGTATCTGTGGTGAAATATAATCCCTGATAGAGAGGCAATGCACAGTAAGATACCAAACATTAAAAACGTCCCTATACAGGGCTGCCTCCAGATGTCTTCTAAAAATTAAATAGTTGTTTATTTCCTTGACATCTGATGGGAGGGTGCCACCACCGAGAAGGCCCTCTGCCTGGTTCCCTGTAACCTCGCAGTGAGGGAACCGCCATAAGGCCCTCAGAACTGGACCTCAGTGTCTGGGCTGAATGATGGGGCTGGAGACGCTCCTTCAGGTATGCAGGGCCAAAGTAATTTAGGGCTTATCATCATCCTCATTTTCATCATTCTCATTATGGAATAAAACATCCCTGTTTTCATTGGATAAATGTTAGAGAGTATGCAATGCATTGGATGCCAAGGCTAGACATCCACTCTGTTCCATTCCAAACATAGGAGAGGTGCAAAGAGTTTCTCTCTCTGAACAAAATTTGGCATTGGCTCTACTAGGATCCTTTTTTCCATTAAATAAATACAATAATAAAAGGGGTGGTTCTGTCTCTTTTCCTGCAGATGTGGCAGCCATTTTGTGTCCTTCTGCACCTCACAGCCGCCATTTTGTGACAGGCGCCCATGACACTTCCTTAAAACTCAAAAGGTG